GGCCCGGCCCGGGCCACGTCGCCAGCGCTGTCGCCGCCCCCGCCGGCCGCGCCTGGACCCGAAGGCCTTTGTCAGCAGCAGATGCCTGGGGCGGGCGGGGGCTGCGCCCATCCCCAAGGCCGCAGAGCGACCCCGCGGGGCTCCCGGAGGAAAAACCCGAAGTGCAGCTAACGCAGGGGCAAAAGGAAAGCGAGATGGCAGGAAGCGGGGAAGTGGCCTTTTGGGCCGAGGAGGGGATGGAGTGGAGGGAGGTGAAAAGCATCCGGATGATGAACTGCTGGGGCGAACACACGGCGACAGCAAAAGCCGCGGTAATGCCCGCTCAGCCCAGCTCAGCCCGAGCACATACAGAGTCTGGATTCCTACAGACAGTAAGTTACTCAGAATACTGTAGGCGTCAGGCCGGGCTGGCCCTCCAAAGGTCCTCGCAGAAGGCAGCTGTGGCTGGAGGCCATTCACTGAAGGCCAGGCTTCGGAGAAGAGGAACTACTCACCCACACATTTCCCCCAGGAGGACCAGCTTGACGGTTTTCTAAGTAGGCATCCCTCACCTTGGGTGGGAACCAACCCCCTTACCCATCCCTCCAAAGCTCTTGTCTTGACTTGCTTCCTTGTCCACCCCCAATTAATCAATATCAGCGTAGCGACTGTACTTGTAATCGTATTGGTTGACCATAGTCCCCTCCGGCCTCACACCCATCTTATGACTTCCCATTGGATCAGTATTACCTAAGTGACCATACTTGTAATCTTATTGGTGATTACAGTTCTGTCCCACCCTGAACCCGCCTCCCCTCGTGGCTTTGCTCAGTGAGCTCCCCGGAGAAGCGGGGTTGGTGGGCAGTCCATCTCCAGGCCCCCTGCTGTCCCTCTCAGTAAATTCTTCCTACTCTTAACCTCCCCGTTCCCAGAATTCATTCCTCAGGGTTAGGGAGCGCAGCCTCCTTTCCAGGCAGCAGGCAGCTTGGCAGTTTCCCACACCTGTGTCAGCTGCACCCATCAGAGACTGGAGCCCAACCTGCAAAGGCGTGTTGGTGCCCTGTACCCAGGATCACAAATTCAAGTGCCCTGCGGAGCCAAGCAGAGGAGGACTGCAGACCGACCCCACGGAGGAGGGGCACGGCCCTGTGCTGCAGCCACCCCTGGCCCCAGTCCACGTTCCCAAAAGAAGGGAGTGCCAGGCCATGGTGTTTCGTGTCTGACCGCTGGCAGTGGATGTCGCAGAAGCGCCGTGTGACTCAGGGCCGCGTGTAGTCAGCAGCCACGCAGTGCGTCTATCTAGGACTCTCCGGTGCCGGACGTCCTCTCTGCTGTGCTTAGCTGTCCTTAGGGAGGGCCCAAGACATCATAACTTTAAGGTGGACATAATTAGCCTGCTGGGGCTGCTGGTGTGACCGGCAGCGCAGTGCAGGCCACGGGGAGCTTTCTGCTTGGGGTACAGGCTCTGAGGGTGCCACAGGCCTAGCCCCCGAGAAACGCAGATGGACATCGGTTGGCCTGGGGTAGGGACAGCATCCTCAGAGGAACCAGGAGTCCCTGGAGCCCTCCCCAAGCCCAGCCCAAGACTCTGAAGACTAAGACCAGGGGAGAGAGGAGCCCTGCAGCCCTGGAGAGCTGTTCCCCTGGACTTGTCCTCCACTTCCCACCTGCCTGACACTCCAAGAAGGGCCAGGGCTGGGCTCTTGCCCTGGCCCTCAAATACTGTGACATTCCCCACAAAACCAGGCACAGCAACTTCCCTGGACTTGTCCTCCACTTCCGCCTGCCTGACACTCCAAGAAGGGCCAGGGCTGGGCTCTTGCCCTGGCCCTCAAATACTGTGACATTCCCCACAAAACCAGGCACAGCAACTTCCCGCAGAGACACCGTCAGTCTTAGACCAGCCAGCCATGATGACGGTGGCCTGCGGGTGGCCCTGCCATGTTCTGTGTGGGGGCCCGGTGCCGAAGGCACACCCTGGAGCAAGACAGCCAGGTTCCTACAGGTGCCAATCCTCTGGCACATTCACCCATCCACTCCCCGACCGCCTGCCCCTTTCAGGGCCGTGCTGAACCTTGACCTCCTGACCACCCTTGAGTTCCAAGTCACTGGGACTCAGGTGGGAGAGGACGGTGTTTGGTGCTGGGGGACGGGTGGGTGGGAAGGTCTGGAGGGCCGGGCGACAGCCTCATGGGGAGGATGGTGCAGGCCTGTGCAGGCCGGCTGGGACAGTGGCTGTGGAGGTGGTGCCGCGTGAGCCTGCACAGCCCCTCTGCCCGGCAGAGGCGCCTGGGCATCAAGGCCTGGGGGCCTCAGGACCTTGTGGGGGAAAAAGCTCTGAGCATGAGACCAGATGCGCCCCACTGCCAGGCCTCAGGCAGGGTTCCAGCAGAGGACAGGGCTCCTCTGGGCGTCTAGGAGCTTCCAGCTAGAACGCAGTGCCCCGTGGAGGCGGCTTGGCCCCGGCTGGCAAGCAGAACACGGCCTGTCAGTGAAGCTGGAGGAGGAGTGGGAGGAGTCACAGGAAGGGGCAGGAGAAGGATGCGGAAAGGGAGTGGGAGTGGGTGGCCGGGGTGACGGTCTTCTCCTTTTCCGGCTTTTGCCTGGCTGGCCCCGGGCACTGCATTGATGCAGGCCCTCAGATCCTTTGCCTTGCTACAGTGGGCTTCCTGCCAGACACTTAGATTGTTCCAGACATGGTTGTGGCTCCTGTGGGAATTACCAGGGCTGCAGCACTGCCAGAATCTGGAGCTGTTTATGGAATTGCTGAGGGCTGACCCACAGGCTCTTCCTCCGCCCCTCAGGAGCTCAGCAGGCCTTCCTGTCAAGGATCAGCACAGGAGCGGCTCTCCGTACCTTGCTCTCTGCATTTGCACGCCGCTCTTCTTTCGGCCCCTGTGCCTGGGTGGGCGGAGTGACCAGTGAGTTGTCATCTGAGGTTAGCCTCCGCTTGGATGGGGAGCAGGAACAAGAAGCAGCAGGAGTGACCAGGGACCAGGAAGTGTCCCAGTGCAGAAGGAAGCAGGTTTTAAGTAGGTGGATGGATGAGTTCGGGAGTGCAGAGGAGACAGCGCCCAAACTCCAACCAGAACTTGGCCAAATACTAGAAATCTTTGTCATCTCCTGTCAGACTACTCATCCAACTCTGTCCAGGGTGAACAGGTCCCGAGAACGAAGTGCCCCCGGATCGATCAATCTGTTTCTCCCAATCACAACTCCAGAGCCATGAATCTGGGCCCAGGGAGCTAGCCGCCTTCTGGACTCAAGCCCCAACCACCATCTCCAGTAACTTTTATACAGAGAGAACAAAGGAGGCAGCCCCAGAATTCGGGCAATCTCAACCATTTTAGCAAGACCAGTACAACTCCATTATCATAGGAATGAGACTTGACCAGTAAGCTCTCTGTTATCTTCCTTAGGGCATATCTCAGCAGAGCATCTAGTGTTGTCTCTGAAACTAACAATGCTTTTGTTAGACTTCCTCCAGAACCCAACAACGGTGGCTTGGTCAGGGCTGAGGCAACACATCTAGAGAATGTCCTTCTCCACAGTCTCCTGTATCCGAAAGTCCTGGCCTCCACCACTCCCAGTGGGTTGATTCACGTGGCTTGAGATGTCATCAAGGAGCCAGATGTTCTGGGCTTAGGTTTGAGTATCCCTGCGCAGCAGGAAGGAGCCAGAAGGAAACTTTCCTGGCATGCTTCTCTGGGGCAGCTGGGAGCAAGCTCTGTCCTTGGGGCTGGAAATGCGCAGCATTTGCTGGCTTATGGTGAGGGTCCCGTTGTGTCTGGCCCAGAATATGTATGAAGTGCTTCCGGGTTTAAGAGTACTTCTGGCTCCGCCCCTCCTCCTCCTCCAGCACAGCCCATGCATTCGGCTGAGCGTGGCACCTCCCTTATGCTGCGCATCAGAGTCAATCCATCTTCCACAGAAAGCCCGGAGCTTTGTATCTCATGAATCACCCTTTGCAGGCCGATTTCTGTGAACACATTTGCTTCTGTCTCTCCTCATTCTGAATACTTCAGAGGAGTGATCTCATCTGATCCATGCCCACGTTCACAGATCCAGGGGCTGGCACATCTGTTGCCTTCTCCCAGGGGTCGGCGTCCTCAGACCTGCCTGGGGCCAGGACTGCATCCCTTCAGTTCTCACCGTGCCTGGACAGTAAGAACACAGCCTTTGGAAAGGGTATGAGGTGGTGCTGGGTGTCAACTTCCGCTTCCCACTCACAGGGGATTGTGGGAGAGGCCAGACTTTCCCTCCCATTGGAAACAAACAAACACAGTATTTGAAAAAGTAATTTTCAGGACACTAGACACCAGGCAATGAAGTGGAAATAAGAAGGCAAGTCTGAAATAAACAAGACAGAACTTCCAGGCCAGAAAACACAAATCACGCTTTTAATGAATAACAGATTAAGGGGCCAGGTCCCTCTATGATGATCCTCACAAGTTTTTAAAAATCAAGTTTATTCATGGAAATGCTACAGCAAGGAAGTCTGTTTTTATGATACGCCTGGTTTTGGGGGCTGAAGGTGTTAGGTCCCTCACATTGTGCCCCGTGCAACCTGAAGAGAAAAGCTCTTGCAGATAACTGGTCTGTTCAAACAGAAAACCCCTCACTCAGCTCCACAGACTGAAGTAAATCTGTTTATCAGGATCGTTCCCAGGCCTAGTTCTCAGGCTTACAGGAAACCTCCTAGGTCTATAGAATGCTACATTGTAAACATGCCGATGTCCTCTAGCACTTCCCTCCCCCAGAGGCAGCAGACCCACCAATCACCCCTGAGAAACTTACATTTTCCACCTTCCTCAGTGGAATTTCCCCCTCCCACACCTACAATGGTCTATAAAGCAGGTCTCCTTCCTTTGT